GTCAATACTTTTGTTTTCTTTTTGAAAATTAATTTGAATTGAATTCCAATATTTCTAATAACCTAAAATATACAAAACAATTCTGGACTAATTTTTTCAGACAGGTAAACACACCCCTATGTTGTAATAAGGCGTCACAAGTGGCCTCAAAGTCTATTTTCAGATACAGATACAGATACCGGAATTGGTATGATTACGTGTCGTGTAAAAAAAATAAAGTCGTCTCGAATACCTGTGATTTTATAACAGACTTGAGTAGAACATGGAAGACATTTCAATTAAATGTGCATAACAAGTGCTTTCAGGCTTATTCTTTAAAACATTTGGGGAATACAGTACGTACACAGAGCGGGAGACGTCTACAATGCCCAAAAGGATATACACCAACACGGCATATATAGTACGCTACATACTACATTACCAAAGATAACCTATAAAAATTTCAAAATGCATTTGACAAGCAAAGAATGGTTATTATTATTATTATTATTATTATTATTATTATTATTATTATTATAAAGGTTAGGACGTTAACTCCGTATGTTTTTGGTCACCGAATTAATCCGATGTTTAAACGTTTATCCCGTGGATAACTAATACGACCGTCCAGCGCTGCATTTACAAGGACTGATCGAATGGTATATCTGCAGCTCAGTAAAGTTGAGTAAAGTCGTGCCATTCTGAGGAAAAACTTCCCTGCACGCTGGATAAGTATAATTTGCCTGTAGATATACCTTTTTCAATTATTGGCACATAATAAGTACCTTAGATTTCAAGGGCGCCTTTTCACCTACACTACGTCCATTGCAACAGTTATTTAATTGAATAACAATTTTAAACCAATTATCAAGAACAATTAAGCAATAGAATTTTTGCATGACATTCTTCACGTCCAATAAGATTACGTCTATTAAGATTCTGAATCGCTTCAGAAAATAATATAGTTTTGATCTATATAAACTACGACTTGCAAAGTCATGTCAAACGAACACACGCCAGGCAAAAAAAATGATATAATTTTAATGTAAATAATAGATAAAAAAAAGAATCTCACGTTACTAGTATAATAAAATATGGCTCCTAGCTTAATGAAGAATTGGAAATAGGGTATCTATCAAGTCCAAATACAATAGTATATCCTATGATGTTAATAAAAAGAAAGTGAAATAATATAAAATTCCTTTAGAATCAAGTTTCAAGGACTGACCTAAGGTCATATATTTGTGAAAGCGAGGTATCAGTATGCTTAGTTATTAAACATAATTGCCTTCTCTGTGATCTTATTAACTTATATCCATGTAATATTTATGACATCAATTGATAAATTTGTGGTAATATTAAGAACCATATGTACTCCGGTACCTAATACGACACACATAACAATTGACATTTATGTCGATCTACACTGGATAAAAATATTACACATCGGTCAACTAACGGCTGTTTTTACTTGCACAGCCTTCCTGCAACGGATACCTATTCGGAGTATTTCATCTATCCATCGTTGATGTATATCCGGTGTATTGCGCTACACTCCGTAGATATAACTGTCCCCGAGACATTTTACAGCCAGCTTCATATTTACAAAGGTGCCATGGAAGTGAAAAGATGCATGTTTACTGTGCTTGTTAATTGTGTTATTTGACGATAGCGTTTGGCTACGTTAATTGTAATAATAATATTATAATATTATTTAATATTGAGCTCACGTCGACCAGGTGGGTTAAATTCCATTATATAAATTAAATAGTATATATATTGAAGCAAATAAAACACAATGAAGATTCACCAGTTATCTTTGAAGCTTGTATAATGGACTTGTGATAAAATCACCCGTTGAACGTTGGGTCTTGATTTAAGGTCTTTGTAATGACTTAGTTATCCTTGGGCAACATTTGTTAGTGTGTCTAGAATTCTTGATGTTTTCGACAGAAGACCGTTGTATTCATTTAAAAACCAACAATGGTCTCATAAAAAGTAAGATGTGTTTAAAAAAACACATTTTCTTTATTCTCATTTATATAAAAATAATTTTACGTATAAATAATGTTACGTTCTTAACGGAAGCAGAACTTTTTCCAGCAACATTTACACTTAAATACATTTGAACAGCAGTCCAAGAGAGAATATGCAAGCAATGATTGCCTTGAGACAGAGCGTCGAGAAAGATTCTATTTGTGTGTCATGAAAACTGTCAGTGAATTCAGGTGCAGAAAATCAACACAGAGAATCGAGAAGAGCTTTAATTAAATGTTCCTAATATCGTGTTCGCCGATGCACCTCAGTAATCATGGATCAATTAAGCCATCAATCTATAGATTAGTTTCGGAATAGTGCGAAATTAAACCTCTTGCTCTTTTTTCAATTTCGTCGAATTGAAGCTGACTGACTGTGCTGGCGTTAATTAATTTGTACCTGTCGCGCCCGGAAGATAAGGTGTCAGATGGATTTTATTTGTGTAAACTTTTCTATTGCCGCCATTCATCATGCTCAGTAGCCGTCCGTTGACATTTTCCGCCGCGGAGTAAAAGGGCTTGTAATGTTAGGAGCTTGTGTTTATTTCACACAGCGGGGAAAAGGAACAACAGATACTGAAAGCGAGGAAAGATTGATCTTTCTTCAGACGCCTTTTGAAGGGAGAATAGAAACCCAGTCTTGCTGTCGTCTAGGAGCCTTTGTTCAAAATAGAGATATCGTTTCTGCAATTGAAAACTGTCGTGTGCCTGAAAAGCTCCGGGGGAAATTCACAGAAAGATTCGTTCTCACAATTTCTAACGACATTAAACGTTCATCCACTTGATCACAGAAGCAATTTTTAATCGTCTTCTGGTGATGAAATTTCAGAGACAATGATAAGGACACTGTCCGTTTTTATATTATTTGAAGTATGTATCAAGTCTATCGATATTGCCTAAATAAAAATCAAATTGTCTTTTACGGAAAAATGTCAATTTAGACCCACGTTTTGCTTTTAACTGAACGATAAAAGCAGCATCTACATAGTTAATGGTGCGTTTATTAAGAAAAATATAGAGATCCAAAAGAGATTTTAGAAAAATAGCTGACTTGACGTTATATTCATATGAAAGTGTTTTGTGTAAGCCATACATAAAAAGGAACGTAGTAAAGACGATCATAATGTACATGTACTGCTGTATAGGGCTGGCAGTCGAAGGTCGACGGCGAAATATGTATTTTGTCGATTCCAGTGTTCTGTTTCCTTCTGTCATCTGCAGTGGCCATTTCAGATCAATTTCATATTAATATCTAACTGAATTATTTTTGTGAATCAAAATAGGTTTGGTACTTAAAATGATTGCATAAGTTATTTCTAAATTCACATTTTTTCTGTTGTAAAAATATGGGTGTTGCCAAATGCTGTTCCTTATAATAATATGTACAGTGAAAATCTGTTAAGTAGTCCTTGAGTACTGTAATAGGTATTTTCTCAGATGAGTTCCCCGTGTTACTAAACCTTAGGCTTTTGCGCATATTATTTTGTGTCTACATGTATATGTATGTACCGGCATCTCCATTGTTGTCAGATACTGTTCATTTATCAATAACAAGATGAGCAATAGATGCTTCCTGGCATGGTGTTGGCGACCTTGTAGCCCTCATGAGGTGACACCTTCTCACACAACTAGAGATATAATTTATTGATTTACAGAATCAATTAAATCAAAACCAATTTAGATTGTGGCTCAGATTCTCAGCCTATTAAATACCAGGCTGGGTTCCCCTTGTGTGCTTTCTGATAATTGGTGAGTCAACACATTCCTGGCGTTTCTTAATATAAATTTGTCACCAGTGTCCGTTCAATGTCATCCCTAGTTATAAAGCACCAACTGTACAAGCACCTGCTGATTGACGTGCCGTCTCTTCATCCCTGCTTTATCTGACACTCCGCCCCCTCTGCCTCTACTATTGACAAGGAGATTAGAAGCTTCTCCCTTCTTATAGACAGAGTCATCTGCGTTTATCTGACACTTTGAATAAAATGTGTCAAGCCCTGGTTAGCAGCGTGTTATTATATCAATTAATCAAACGATTTAAAGCGCGCGCACAATTGATCTTGTGATGTTAATCGATGAGCGACGTTGCACGCGCTATAGACATTGTTCAGGTGCTGATGTTCCTTCCGTTCGCAAAGTGTATACTCTGGGGTAAAAAGGGCATAGGTCGAGGTGGCCTCAAAGTAAAAACAAACGCTAGGTCAGTTTAATCTCCCTTTTCACGTTTTACATCGACAGATCTTCTCTGGTCACCCGCGTCCAACGGACATAAACACGACATTATCGATAACATAGGTCTATTTGAATGGCATCCATTTTAAAAGTGTAGCAGAATTTTCACAATTCTAGAGAGAGAATACATTTTACAGACCCCTCCCTTTTAGAGAGTACAAAGTGAAAAATGATCTTTGACAACAATTTTGATCATCATTTTTATTATTTTCCAAAAGCGTACAGAGGGCATTAACCTTCTTCCGCCGAGCTACTACTTGACTGCTTGTGAAAATGATGATAAAAACGGAGGATGGCCCTTAATCGTTATTATTTATCTATTTATTTATTTATTTATTTATTTTTTATTTTTATTTTTATTTTTATTTATTCATTATTATTATTTGTGCAGAGAGGACAAATTCTTCATTTGCATGGGACAAGTAATATATCCAACGCATAAATTCCCAATAAACTCTTATCTCATCCTTTTCAGTGTGGTAGTGAATGTATGGTTTGATTTGTTTCTAAATTGTCCACAACACGTATTGAAAATATACAGTATAATTCGATGATCTTTTTCCGCACCACTAATTTAGAATAAGAGTTATTTATATAAACGGCCGTCAACTTATTCAACACAGAATATACATTTAAATTCCCTTTTCTTTCTACAACAAATTATATTTGGAAAGCTGCGCTTTTGAATTGAGAATAAAACTTTGTACATAACGATGTGAAATTGCCCAACTACAATTTACCTTTTCTTTTCAGGGGCCCAATTTTCTCTAGAAGACGACAACAAAAGAACCCGAACAGCATACACTAGGGGACAGCTTTTGGAACTGGAGAAAGAATTTCATTTTAATAAATATATATCTCGTCCACGTCGCATTGAACTCGCTGCCATGCTAAACTTAACTGAAAGGCATATAAAAATCTGGTTTCAAAATAGGAGAATGAAATGGAAAAAAGACGAAGCAAAGCGACGTCCGCGGCCTCTATCGACAACATCGGGAACTGCGACGACATCAGCAGGGATGGTTACGTCAGCCGCAGAATCAACTACGTCATCACTTAAGACTGTCAGCTCTTATGAAGAGTCTGGTAAAGAATTAAACGGGGAAATGAAAAAAGAAGTCGCAGAACACAGAATAAGTCCTTCTGTCAAATAGATCGCAGATCAAATCTTTTAAACGATGTGACTTTACACATGGCACTATGTCAAAAAGGGTATAAAGAATCAACAGAGGGACTCCCTGTATTTAGGCTCTTAATAATTAATTTATATGGAGCTTATACAATGTACTTATATCTGACGTTGCTAAAATGCATCCTATTGATATACCTCTGTATGAAACCAAAATGTCATCTGTAAATTGGCCAAAGCCCAGTGATAACGCAAAAGACTGGGTTTGAGCAATGAACAACGTTTATTGTGGAGAAGGTAATTTTCGTCCATCATCATAAAGCTTCTGTAGCTTCATGTACTATCTGTTTATATCTTATAAAGATTTTTCATTTGTAGTTTTTATTTTCGAATTGACTCAAAGTCTTTAACTGCTATAAAGTAATAAAATAAAACGCAGATGTATCCGGTTATTGATACGTCCGAGAAAAAAAAAAGGTCATTATTCACATATTGTGTCTTAGGGGCAGTGTCTCCTTGTACAAGCGGACCTTTACCAAACATGATGACAGGAAACGTGTGACGCTGTAATAGACTCGATCCACATGGAACGTAGTACAATGAGATAACACAACGGTTTTGACTGAGTACATGTACATTGCTTTGTCTCAAAATGCATACTGTACATTTACATGTGAAATCCATCCTGCTATAGGCCTACGTACCTTGATGCACGTAAGCTGGTTCGGGTTTCAAACATTTCCTCAGCGATCCAATTTCTTACGTCATTGATTTCATAACGATCCAGTTAATTACACGTTAATTTCTTTGTCCTAGAGACAGTGGAGTGTCTTTTAACGGCCCTGCACAAACAGTTGCTCTTCGGTAAGACGTTCAGATTACATATAGGGTCTAACTAATATTAATTTGGTCTTGGGATGACGTGTATTTGTGCCGAACCGGTCATATATGGACATAAACGTCATTTAAGATGCAACAAGACTTATCAGAGTAACAGTTCGTGCTATCAGGAGAACTGTTTGGCTGGTGAGGTTCGTGGTGTGGGTTGCACGTTACATCTTGCGGTTGTGACTACATGTCTCCGCTGACGCATTCTCCGTCAACTTTCACGCACGTGCATTTCTCATGGTCAACAGTATACTGGTTTTAATGGTTTTCCGTTTCAGGGATATTTTAGACTAATCAGTTATTAAAATAAATAAACGGATAACATTACCAGTTCATTAATCTTGTAGAATGGTCGATATCTAAATAGCTGACATTAAATACGGATTGTTTTCTCCAAATTATTTTTCTTCAATTTTTGTCTATTTCCGTGTTATGAATGAAATCAAATATTTGAATCGTACTTAAATAAATTTAATTATCTCTTCAGTTTGAATGTGACATTAGTTCTTCAACTTAATTCATCCATAAAGTATTACACAAGGGATGATTTAAGTCATAGCCTATAACAACCATTATTTCCAACTTATCAACTGCAAATATATTAAAAGTCCTCACGACCTTAATGAAATAAGTAGATTAAGTAATTATTGTTATCTTATTTGGGATTGAAGGTCGTCGGAGCAGTGACCCCTCCCCCTTGGCAAAACTGATTACACCGAGTATATTATCAACAAAAGGGGGGTCAGGTCTCCTGCAAGCCACGCAGTCACACAGACACGTATATAAACCTTTGTGACCTCGATAAAGTTACTAGAAAGTGTGAGCCAATGCATCAGTAGTTACCGTCTCAGAAGCATGTCTTTAATACACACACACGCACGCACGCACGCACACACACAAAAGACACACATAGACAGACAAAGAGAGAGAGAGAGAGAGAGAGAGACCATTTGCACAGCAGCACTCCAACTTGTGATCGCGGTTTCGCCGCGCAGAGGACTGTTCTGTACATGAAGGTGAAACAAGACCGATGAGGGTCAGGGTTCAGGGCCAACAGGGATAAAAGGGGTACCTGTAAATACATGAACTGCATGCAATTTTGCATTTTAAGCAATAATCCCAAAAATCTTAATTACATATTAATTACAAAAATATAATTACTAAGGTATTTCAGATGTTTAAGAAAGTCCTACTTAAAATGGAGGCGGGGTTGCAAACAATTTATCGTCCGATTAAGAAGCATTTTATTCACACAGTATCCTGAAAATGCACAAATTAAACCACTATTCAAAAGAACTCCAACAATCACACAAAATTGTCACAGGAGAAACTTAATCCGTGAAACAATGTACGTTTTGATTTCATTATACACTCACATATCTACAGTATAACGGCAATGTCCGATCTGCTATGTTAAAATTAGCGTCATTTTTATTTTATTTTTTAAATTAAAAACGGATTTGTTTAATCAATATAGTATCTTCACCGATTTTTGATTACGTTTCTTCCAGTTCGCTTAGATCGGTGTTACAAAGTGAGAGTATGAGGTCGGGCAGGTCTATGTCAGGCATGTCAAGGTAAATCCGCTCGAGGATTTTCCAGCTAATTTCTGAAAGAGCGCGTATATTGACGAGGGCATTCACGATATTGGGAAACAGCCCTGGTCTGCTGGGGTGGTTGATTCTCAAAGAGTACTGCAACGCCTCCACAAGTTTTAACTGAATGGCTTCGATCTTTGAAGGTTCCTTCAGGTCGCAGCGGTCGGAGAAAAACAGCGCGATTGCAGTAAGAAGAACGTATTCAGCGTACGATAATCTTAGGTTGGTCAGCTCTTGGGCCAGTTTGAAGAACGTATCCACATAATCCTCGTGTCCGAGTGCTTTGACGAGGTCAGTTTTGTGCAGTACCTTACCGGACATGGCCATTGTGTAGCATTGGAGCTTGGCATTGAATCGCCGATGGCCACCAATGAAAAGAGCCTCATGGCGCGCGTACTTGATCAAGGCTGCCTGATCCTGGGTGCACAAATCTGAATAACCGGGGATGAACATAGCAAACTGGATCAGTCGTTTAATGCATGCGTTAATCATCACAAGCCACTGGTTCAATATCTCGCGCCGGCCATCAAGGTCAAGGCCAGTCATACAATAAAACGTGCTGTACTCGTCGTCGTCGACGGGGTCTAGGCTGCCGAATATCTCCTGGCGAAGTTTGAAAACTTCCATGAATTGAATTTGCTCGTCTCCGAGTTTAGATGAAAGATGGAGGCTCTCTGGGTCGATTATCATGGCGCACTCGGCGAGATATTTAACCAAGTGAGCAAGGTCCTGTTGATGAACACTTTTAGCCTGGTCGAACAAGGCGTCCGTATTGGCACGGGGCTCCACTTGACTCTCCGCATAATGCTTTTTGATTTCCAAAATATCTTTCACTTTCTTTTCGTGGCTGTATCTGCCGGTTTTAATAGAGCTTCTAGACATTCCGACTGCGCGACATTTCTCGTAGCGGCAGTGAGCGCAGTAACGCCTTCGACTCGGCACGATCTGGCACTTGCCGTTTCTCTTGCAGCTGTACACAGCATTCCTCTGCAACGTTCTCTTAAAGAACACCTTGCACGCCTCGCAAGTATTCACACCGTAGTGTAGCCCCGAGGCTGGCTTGCCGCACACTCGGCACGGAGGGAGCGCCGGGAGGGAGGGCTTGGACAGCTGACCTTCAGAGCCCTGACTATCCAACGTCGATGTCGAGCCAGAATCGGAACTCGACGGACTTAAGGGGTCGTCTGCCAGACTGGCGGGGTCGAGTAAGAGGGGCAGCGGACTGCATGGGAAGTCCTCCTCCAAATCCATGGAGTCCATGAATGTGTGAGAGTCCTTGGACAGTCTTCTGCCCCTTGTGCGGCTGTCTTCTGAAGTCATGTTGATACTAGCTACGACCACCTTTAAGCGAGTCATTATCTAGGACAACTTGACCTACTTCGATAACCGGATTTAGTCAGCGGCACTAGAATATGCGACCAGGGACTAAAATAACTTATCAGGGACTAAAACTTCAAAATAAGACTATTTTTGAGAAGCGTGTTGGACGGTAACAGGTACAATTACATATCTAAATTTGTTTGTGTAGTTGCAGTAGCGATTTTTTTAAATAAAGCGCGTGAAAAGTTGAAATGATTCACGATTTTATCGTAATAACCGACATCAATCTCTCTGTTCAAATATTGCGTTAACAGGGGATATCTACCTTCGTCTACTTGTATAACCCTGGATGTAAATTCAAGATTAAAGGACGAAATAGTCACGTGTTGACAATTTACTCAGGATAAATATAAATTCACCTGTGCACTGAGAATTGACACAAATGAAGGCCAGCGAGGACAGACCAATTACTGCCGAGTTGCTTTCTTTTCTTTTCACAAACTTTTTCTTACTGTCTATAGCAGTGGTGGATTCAGAAGGGGGGGGGCAGGGGAGTCCTGAGTCCCCTCTTGAAATTAGAATTTTGACTAGATAAATCATAGTTCAAAACCGTTCGCCCTCTAAAATACAAAAATCAGCGGGCCCCGAACCCCACGCCAAGGGAGTGTCGGCTTCGCAGCCTCCGCCTTTAATCCCAAAAACGCCCCCCCTTCAAATAACCCTGGGTCCCTCCCTGTATAGGTTTATTATAAGCAGTGTAGATATTTTGTATGAGGATATCATCATCTTGGAGGGTTGGGTGGGGGAGGCGCACTCCACCTTCCAAAACCTTCCACCTTCCAAACTTATTTCTTTAACCCCTCACACATAAGTTGAAAAGACTATAGGACACAAAAGCCATGATACTTCCACGGATATTTTCCTCATTTACTTAGTATCTGAATATGTTGCTTGTCATTTCTTGAATCTCTTAAATTGCCTTCAGCTATATTCATTTACGAATAATCGTCACGTTTGTATATACTGCAAGTTTTAATGAAGTTCCTCGAAAGAAAATAAAAGTAATCCATTCACTGGTCACAAAGTCAAAATTGTATGTCTTCTTATCTTTGCAAGTGTAATTTATCAATTAAAATAATACTCCTCAAATAATAGTGCCTGATATGAGTATTTCTTTCTAAAAAAATTAAACCAGGAAGACATGGTGGTCTGAATGACTCATCATCGTTCTTTTAGTACTACAGTAGGTCATTTTATTAGAAAAACAGTACTACGCAATTTTTTTTCTCTCCAAGAAAATGATATTTGGTACGAAAATCTCCCGTAAAATAATGGTACTTTCAAATTTTAAAGACAAATCAAATAAACACACATCTTCACGTGTGTAGTGCCCACATAGGAGCAGTACCAAGCACGTTATTGATCTTCACGTTGTCTTCACGGCACCTAAAGAATTTTTCTGTTTATTTCCTTGTCAATCCACTACCTGATGGCAAAATTGAGGCCACCGATATGTTCTTTTCGTGATTCAATGTACTGCGTAATGGCTGCTAGGATGTACCACGTTCACCTTCTTTTTGTGTGTTTTATGGTGAATCTTTGGGCACCAGGAAATAGTAAGTACAACTGTACATTTATAACATGAAATGTAACTGATCTTGTATGTTTAAAACGAGTATGACTCCACGAAACGCAATGCAGGTAAGTATCATTCCTCTTTCGCCACCCCGCTTCTTAGTGATTGTAAAATAATAACAGAAAAACGGTTACCATTTGTTTATATACTTTTATTTTAATTATTGTGCTTATTTTTTTTTTTTATGTCTACCAAATGCAACGTCGACGGTTTCCAACACAAGTTCAGGAACATCGAATACCAGCACTACTAGTACCACTTTCTTAAATACCACTACCGCTATCAGCACGACAGTTTCCATTACGCCTAATGGCACTGATGGTAAGTTATCGATATATATCAAATTTAAGATATACTGATATCTTGATTTTTAAGAAGTAATCATTTCTGAAAAAATACATTTGCATGATCATTGACTTTTATGTTAGAATGTAGGCCCTACAAAATAAGTTGTTCAGAATAAAACGACCTTCATTTTAAATTGCTACTTAGTAGGCGTTGAAAAAAACTACAAAGCCCCTCGTACTGTTGGCTGCAAATTCATGTGCACTTGCAGTCGCCCTGTGAGGCACAAAATACAACCACGTCCCCAGGGAGTTTCTAAAACTCAGAGAGCTCTCTCGGTGTTATAGTAGGTATTTTGGCAACAAGCACGTAATTAATCTCCACGTTGTTTCCACGGCACCTAAAGAATTTCTTTATTTCCTTGTCAATCCACTACCTGGTGGCAAAATTGAGGCCACCGATATGTTCTTTTCGTGATTTAATGTACTGCATAATGGCTGCTAGGGTGTACTACGTTCACCTTATTTTTGTGTGTTTTATGGTGAATCTTTGGGCACCAGGAAACAGTAAGTACAACTGTACATCTATAACATGAAATGTAACTGATCTTGTATGTTTAAAACGTGTATGTACATGTACATATGACTCCGCATTGCAAGTAGGGATCATTCACCTTCGCCACCCCGCTTCTTAGTGATTGTACAAACAATGACAGAAAAACAGTTACCAGTTGTTTCTGTACTTCTGTTTTTATTATTGTGCTTATTTTTTTTCTTTCATGTCAACAAAATACAACGTCGACGGTGTCCAGCACACGTTTAGGAGCATGGAATACCAGCACTGCTAGTACAACTTTCTCAAATACCACTACCGCTATCAGCACGACCGTTACTGCAGACTGCATTACGCCTAATGTTACTAATGGTACGTTATCCACATATGTATCAAAGTTAAGATATACTGATATCTTCATTTCTAAGAAGTAATCATTTCTGAAAAAAATACGTTTGCATGATGATTGAGTATTGACTTTTATGTTAAAATTCGAGCCATTCAAAATAAGTTGTTCAGAATAAAACAAACTTTAAAGTAAACTGCTCCTAAGTAGATGCTGCAAAAATAACAGGGCACAGGTTATACAAGCCCCTCGAACTGTTGGTTGCAAATTCATGTGCACTTGCAGTCGCCCTGTGAGGCACAAAGTACAACCACGTCCCCAGGGAGTTTGTAAAACTCAGAGAGCTCTCTCGGTGTTATAGTAGGTATTTTGACATCAGTGTGTGCGTGCATTTGTGTGTGTGTGTGTGTGTGTGTGTGTGAAAGGTATGTTGACTTGCTGGCACGATATTACATTGCAGTTCAAGTAATGGTCACTCCTATTACAAATTTTTGTTATTGTTAAACCTACAGAAGAAAAACAGCAACCAGTTGTTTGTGATGATATCAACTTTATATATTTTAGTCTATCTATATTATTACGTTTATCACTTTCTCAGATACCACTTCCACTAACAGCACGAATGATTGTATGACGCCTACTGCCACTACTGGTAAGTTATAAATACATATGAAAGTTTAGATGTAAGTCAACTAAATTCTTGATTTTGTTGGGAACTAATTATTTCTTAAAGAGGTACGTTTACATGATCATAAAGTATTGACTTTCATTTTTAAATTTTAGACATTTAAAGTAAATTGTTCAGAATAAAATGACCTTCACTGCTAATTCCTTCCAGTAAGTCTTAAAAAAACTATATACAAAAGACCCACAGCTTTTCCACACTCCTCGTACTGTTGGATACATAACCACCTGCATTTGCAGATACCAGTACCTTGGAGGCAACCACACCACCCAAGCCACCGCCAGTCGGTGCTATAGTTGGTCTCTCGACATCACTGGCGCTAGCAGTTCTTATCCTGTTACTGTGTGGTCTACTTGTATATCTACGACAGAGGAAGACTACACGTTTTAAGAGGTAAAGGAAGCCCTATGTATAAAAAAAACTTAAAAAAACGCAAAATACTCTGTAAAGCATTAAGAAGTATTACGTAAACTATTAGACATTAATGTCTGTGTTCATTTTCTATACATAGACTTTGTAAAACTGAAGAAGTATTATTGTAATAAATTTTTCATGTTTCATTTTTAATGTTTCAAGGTTTTCTTTGAAATCCCCATTGTATTCATTTCAGGCCAAATTTTTCAAATCAAGCAATGGAAATGGTAAGGATTCAAAATATTTCACTAGTTTTTCATCCACTAATTTTCTTTATGCGTAAATTTAACGTAGATCTACCCGTTGAAAACAACTATGAAGTAGTAGTGAAGCTTTTGTAATTTCAAAAAATATATATCAAAATATTTTTCTAAACATTATGCCTATTCTGTTTGTATATCTTGCTCTAGTATTTAATGTAATATTTCTCAGGAACCAACGAGAACAACAGATTTCACACCCAATGGGAAGTCTATGGTAAATGCAGGTGCTTCCCGGAGCCACGATAACAATTTCACCTATTTCGTCAAAAGCGAACATATGAACGGATCTGCCGCGAGCGACGCCAATGAAGATGGACATGACTACCTAGATCTTAGTTCTGCCGGTACACCACCCAATGAGGAGTATTCTTATGCATATGCTTCTGTTGGTGGCAAGAAAGCCGAGATGGAATCAGGAGAACAGAGCAAGAAACAAAAACCCGAAGCCTTTGAGATGCAGCAGATGTATTTGAATGATTTACCCTAACCATGCAGCAGTGCCCATATTCGCCATAAGGATTTGATAAAGTGCATGCCAAAGATTTAATCTTAATGTGGAGATAAATATCAACTTTAAACCATTTTGTGCAAATCCTCTTTTTCTGCAAAATTGATGCCTCAAGCTTATAGGAATGCTAGACCGTAGTTATTACAAAACAAATTCATCAGCGTTTTTTAATTATTTATTATTATTATTGTTTTTTTTTTTTTTTTGGGGGGGGAGCGTTAAAACTTTCAATTTTTTTTCGCCAAACGGTACACCTCTAACTATATATCAACAGTCAGCGAGAGAGGAAATACTTCAGCTGCTTAAACTTCATGCAGACTTCCTCAATGAACCGATCGTCAAATCTAGGTCATTTTACCAATAGAAACGATTTAGGACCAAATCTTAATGATAAGGAAATGACAAAGCGGTCTTTAAATGTACTGTGAAATGTTTTTCGATAAAGAGTGCGTGCATGTATTCATGTCGAGACAGTCTAAAATCTCACCGTAATGTCCAATATAAATCTATCTGTTCAAATATTACGTAAATGGGGTATATTTATTCTTACAGGTATACTAGTATTGCCCTGTTAGAAGAATAATTCAAGATTATTAAGAGACGTAATGGTCGTTCAATGGTTCATTACATGTACCACTGGTCTCTTGATTGATATATACATGTATATGCGGGATTAATTCACTAACATTTAACACAAATTCAAAACAATTGCGTCAGATCGATCATCTGATTCCCAGTTTATTTTTTACTTGTTTATTGTTTAAATAAAGGTATTTTATGACCAGAGCAGGAATTTTGTAGAGGATTGCGCTCGCTTACAAACAGCAAACAAAATGAAAACACGCTACGAGACACAAAGAACGAACCTCATACATGTACATGTAATACCTTCACCCATACACGATGAACTTTTGGGCTNTGCAAAAGCTGGGTCAGTCCAACTGTGCGAGAGATTCTCCTTCAAGTGCAATCAGTGTATTAAACTTAATTGTCTAACAGGCCTTCTTGAGGAGTTACGGGTGATTAAGTATCCTGTGCTGATTAAGGTGATCCCACCGATGGTACTTAAGCGAGAATCCCACGCAGAGTTGGATCGAACAAGCTAGTACCACGTGCGAATCTGAATGCGTCCATAATATACTTGTCGGATATTAGTGCCTTTTAGTTTAACATGTCTGTAGTGCAATTATAACGTGGAAACAAGTTCCTTTCAATATAATTTCACCATTGCTTGGAACCTGGCTTGTTTGAGTACAGTCATCCACTGGTTTAATGAGAGTTTAGACATACCTCCACCAATCGTCTGGCTACAGGATCTCTCAGAAGACCGCTGTCATAGAGGGCCGCTGCAGAGAAGACCGCTGTCGCCGAGGGCCGCTGAGAAGACAGCTGTCGCTGAAAAAAACTGCTGAGTGAACTGTCGCTGACAAGTCCTACATTTGTAAACTCAGCATCTAGCCCATATAATAGACGTCGCCGTCATTCTTCCCACAGACAGCATGAAGTGTGCTTCCTCTTCACACAACGCTATGCCTCATCTGCAACCTTCAGCATCGCTCCAGAGCAGCGGTAATCCAACGCCTCAATTTAACAAGGACGCTGAATGTGATTATGAGTCTGAAAACGAAGATACAGAGAGTGGGCTTGGGTTGACTGGCAGCGCCTTTCCTCTGCAACTGCATCAGCATGAGGGTCAACAGTTCTGTCGGCGTGAACAACGCAGAGTTCTTGATTCAGTTTCAGTTTTTTGTTTAAATAAAGGTATTTTATGACCAGAGCAGGTATTTTGCAGAGGAACGCGAAGGGGGTGAAAAGACGTCATGAGACGCATAGAACCATGCTCATAATATCCACACCCATGCACGATGAACTTCTGGGGTCATTCCCCCCCCCCCCCCCCCAACTGACCTCCTCCCCTTGTCTCAGTGCACCATACATCTACACACATCCACCTGCCTCAGTACTTGTGCGTTGCAGTATCATTTCGTGATATTTTATCCGCGGATCTAGAGGAGCGGAGAGGGGGGCACACGCTCCTTTTTCCAAAAAGAAACTTGATTTAGTAATTATTCTCCTGTAGTGCAGTAATTGAGCTCGGCGAACTGGGTGCAGTCATTCACATGAACACTATATTAAAGGTGAAAATACCATGGTTGAAGATGTTGAGAACCCGACTCATGTCAAGTTTCAACGTTATCGGATTGACCTTAGAATTTACTTCCTTGTTTTTTTTTTTTTTTTTTTTTTTTTTTTTTTTGCACCTGTTATTAACATGGCGGTTACCGATATGTAGTGACCGTCATAAATATATTACAATAATGTCAGTGTATCACCTCGGCCTTCTTTGTTTGTGTTTTATAGTGAACCATTGGGCGCCAGGTAGCAGTAAGTATTACACTGAATATTAAATGTAACTAGCAGTACACGTAAATACAGCATGTATGACTTCGCCAATGGTATGCATTGATTTTAACCGCACATGTACTGGTACTTGAATAACGTTACTTTGCTAGTACATAAAATATAGTGCAGGGCCATATTCCTCATACATTTGTATTACTTAGCTGAACAAACAACTGACAAACAGTTACTACTATAGATGTACGAGGCGAAACAAGCTTTATTTATTTTACGGTGCCTATCTCACTGTTGCGTTTATCTATTTTTATGACAAGTGGCCTGGCCGTGTGGATATAATGACGAGGTCTGTGCACCAAACGGTGCATTTGCTCCAAATCCTGCAGATTGCACGCAGTATTATTGGTGCGTGGATGGCAAATGGAGACTTCAGAGCTGTAGCGGTTCATCCCATGGCAGTTGTGGTACTAATCCAGCGCCATACTGTAGACGAGTTACTTGTCCAGGAACCACTTCGCTAACGTCAGAAATAACAACTATTACAATTACACCCAGGTCTGTGCCCACTTCCCCCAGACCCATTACCACTTCCTACATTGATATTACAACATATGATTTGATGTCTGAACCTGCTGCTGGTAAGTTATTAAAAACAATGATACAAAATTCAGATTTATACTTAAACTAATTTAATGTCTTGTTTATTTCCCCATTGAAGAAACGTGTTAAAAGGATACTTCATTTCCACTTTTTGATTTTATTAAAAAAAGACATTTGAGTACTTTTATATTTCACTGAGGTGGAAGAAATAGTTATGTCATTTATAGAACTTAATTTTTAAAAACTAAATTAATTTATAAAACAAGTGCGTATATTATAGAAAAATGAAAAGAACTAATCTGCATTGTGACCTTTTTTCGTGATGATAAAGAATACAAAGTTACCTAGAAAGTCCCAGACCCGTAGCTAGTTCATGTTCCTCATTGTGTCGGGTATAAAACTTGTGTTACTTGCAGTTACCACTATGGAACCAACCTCAACCTCACCATCCGGAAGAAAGTCAGTTCCCGATCATTCTCTCACCCCTGGTGCTGTAGCCGGTACCGTGACATCAGTAACGCTGGCAATACTTAACATTATACAGTGTGTGCTGCTAGTAATTCTGTGGCGGAGAATAAAACGTACTGAGAGGTAAATAACCGTTTTTTAAATAACTACGGCGGTATTGTAGGAGTTATGGAGTCAAATATGGAGTCCAAATTATTTCATACGTCAATTTTATTATGTTATTACTGTACTACATCGTTGAATGACATATCATCGCAAAGCGTAAATGTATTTGGCACATGTATGAAAAAAACTATACTGACTTAATTTAATCCCTTACTGTTTCTTGAAACATTTTAGGTCAGATCAATCTATTCAAGCAGTATCAAAGGTAAGGAATATAATTTTTTTTAATAATCGCTTTGTAAATAATAATAGAAATGGGTTTTTAACTATGAAAACCTAACCAAAACTGTTTTCTAATAACTATTCCCAACCTGCTTCAATATGTAAATTACTTTAGTATCTAATATAATATTTATCAGGAAGAACCAAGAACAACAGATCTCACGTCCAATGGGCACCCCATGGCAAACACAGATGCTTCCAGGAGTATCGGTGACAATTACATGTTTCTTGTCAAAAGCGAATACATCGATGGATCCGCCATGAGCGATGGCAATGACGACAGAAATGGTTATCAAGAACTTAGCGCAGCTGAGACGCCATCTAGTGACGAGTATTCATATGTGTATGCTTCTGCTGGTGGCAGGAAAGCCAGTGTGAAACCAGGAGAACAGGACAAGAAACAAAAATCAGACGTCTGTGAGATGCAACATATGTATTCGATTGATTTAGAGTAACCATGCTGGCAGAAGTAACTGTCATAAGAATTTGATAATGAACATTTCAAAGAAGTTATAATGAGACTTAATTTAAAAAATACATTTATTTTTAAATCATTTTGTGCAGATCATCTTAAAACTTTTTTAAATAGACGTCTCTAGATGACAGGCCGTGGTTATTGTCAAACAAGCCCGTCAGCTTTTCCATTTTACCGATAGAAATGATTTAGAATAAAATTTGTGATAAGGAAGGAAAAGTGGTATTTAAATGAAGTGTTTTTTAAGAGTATTAGGATTCATGTCGAGATAATCTAATATTTCGCCGTAATGTCGAACATAAATCTATCTATTCAAATATTACGTAAAAAGGTTATATTAATTCTTACAGGTATACTAGTATTACCCTGTTAAAAGAAAAATTAAAGATTATTAAGAGACGTTCAATTGGTTCAGAAAATGTACCACTGGTCTCTTGCTTGATATATACATGTATATGCGGGATTAATTCACTAACATGTAACACAAATTCAGAACAATTGCGTCAGATCGATCAACTGATACCCAATTTATTTTTACTTGTTTATTGTTTAAAGGTATTTTTGACCAGAGCAGGAATTTTGTAGAGGATTGCGGATGGGGTGCGCTCGCTTACAAAAAGCAAATAAAGTGAAAAGACGCTAAGAGACACAAAGAACCAAAGTCACAATACCTTCATCCATACAAGATAAACTTTTGGGCTCCCCCCCCCCCCCCCACACACACACACAAACACACATATATATATAAACGATATCTGTGCTGTGTCGCGATTTACCGATATAAACAAGGTGCATATTGTCAAATTTATCATTAAATTAAAGATATCGATCATACTCAAAATGCTTTTTCGAGATAATGCACTTGCTCCCTAGGCACTTGAAACTCCTGGAGAACATTTTCC